AAACGAGGACAAGACGAAGTATCTCCTGTCATCAAACAAACAGTCAGCACATTCGCGCATTGGCACCCACATCACTGTTGACAGTTACAATTTTGAGAAAGTAGAGAACTTCGTTTACTTGGGAACCAGAATTAACACCGATAATAATGTCAGCATGGAAATCCAACGCAGAATCACTCTTGCTAACAAGTGCTACTTTGGACTGAGTAGGCAATTCAGAAGTAAAGTCCTCTCTCAACGTACAAAAACCACCTCTGTAAGTCACTCATCATGCCCGTGCTGGTATATGACGCAGAAGCAGTGCGCGCTGGCGGTTAATATCTAATCAGATAGCTAGGCTGTAATCAGAGCTTTCATCTCTTTTTCGGTCGTATGTGAGTACATATTTCTTTGTTAAACTTATGTGGACGCCAGGTAAAATGCAGAAAACTGCTTGGCTAATGCGCTGGTTCCACCAAGAATATAGACTGGTAGTATGCTTGACGACTGGGAGATTACTCTTGCCACTCGTATCAGCTCAGCGAAAGCTGGGCGAAAACCAGGGTATGTACTACTTTTTTGGCCAAGAGTTGACCACCGGCGGCCTAGAGATCTTCACAAAGTCAAAACTCTCAATTCTGGTGGATGTATTGCCACGGAACTATCCAACTTGGACTGCTCGGAGGAGAACATCTGCTATAACCCAGCAGTTACCGTAAGTGTTGATATCGCAAGGGACCTTGGCTTATGGTCTTCTAAGTGTGCCCCATGTCTTAGGGAATCCACTCTACTAAACTCTCCAATTTGCCAACTAAGTACTTATTATTTGAAAATTTAACAGGAAAAGCGAAATCCTCATTATCGAGTCGTTACTTTACTCGAACGTGTACTTAAAGCCATCCTATCAATATTGGCTTAGAAGATTGCCACCTATTTAAAAATCTACATAATTTAAAATTTAAACTACAAATTTTCAGTGCTGTAAAAAATATGATAAAATCGAAGGTAGATTGAAGAATTTGAAATTATCTTAAAGGGAGTTACCACTCATCACAAAATCGATATTATTCTTTTTCTGAATTTTTCTATATATTTATTAAGATCCTCTTTAAAATCCGATTCCTTTCTTTATAGGCTATGGCTCGAATGCGTTAAGCAGCGTGGGCGTGAGTGTTGGAAAGTCATCGCTCGATCCGCACTCACATCTCAGACAGCCAGGTAAGTCGAAATTCAAATTTCGAATAATACTTTGTATTGATTTGCTGTGAAAGTATGACACGAATGAAGTTATTCAAAAATATTTAAACTACCCTCAGAGGCTGGTGAAAATCCCATTGTTGCTCCAACCAAATTCAGGCTTTCGCATTGAAGCACTTGCGAGTGCCACTTAGAATGAGAAACAAAAACAAAAAACAGAAACAAATACTTTAAAAATGCTTTAAAAGCGATACAAAAACGAGTGAAATCCATTTGCGGCGCGTGTGTGTTTTCGTCTCAACGACTTACTATGCGCGCCAAATCAAAGCGACATTGACACAGAGAAGTAACAACAACCCGAAGAAAAACAAAAAATACGCACAGGACGACAACAACACTCCAGCGCATTCGTATCAAAAAAAAAAGTAACTATTGTATGTAATAAATATGAAGAATGTGTGCAATTGTGCGCAAGGTAAAACACTTTACTTTAAAGTGTGCCCAAATACTCGAAGAGCAAATAACAAAGCAAAAAAAATAAATAAAAAATCGAAACAGAAACAAAGCAACTCTATTTTGNGGGGGGGGGGGGGGGGGGGGGGGCTCTGACTGACTGGCATAGTGGCGAATCAAACCTAAATTCGCCACTTCACAACTACTTGAAACACAAATAAAATGGAATGTGTTTGGCAAAAAAAAAATTCACAATCCGCGATAGAGGGAGGGAAATGAAATAAAATAAAAGCGTCGAAAAAAATCGAAATGAAACAATTGAAATGCCATAAAACGTTCTCAATTAGTGTTGAAGCTGTGGCTAAGCTGCTGAAAAAGGCGGCAAGTTGCTGAGCAAGCAAAGCGTGGCACACCAAGCTGGTACATGGAACTGGGGATGCTGGAAAACAATGCGTTGTAAGCGCAATGAAGTGAGAGACTGAGTAAATACAACACAGTAATAAGTAAGTTGATGAATGCTCAACGTATGTGTGCTCGTTTGCGGTGACGGTGCTGTCAAATTTTGACTGAAAATGCATTTCGATTTCATGTTGCAAATATGAATGAGAAAAAAATGTATTTTCGTTGAAATGTTTTTGGAGACGTACGCGTGCCATAGCTGCCAATATGACGCACGCATCAAAAAGGTAACAAGTCGCTTGGAAAGCACGACGGCCGCGGCGCACAGTGTGATGGAAATGGGTAAAAATCAGCGAGAAATGTGTAGTCTTGCAAGGCTAGGTTAGATGGTAGCCGAGGGGATAGAAGTGCATACTACCACTTTGTAGGACCTGGGTTCGATTCCGAGCAACATTCAAAATTAGAAAAACAAACTTTTGTTTCTAACATCGGTCGCCCTTCGGTAGACAATGGCAAACGTCCGAGTGTATTATTGCCTTGAAAAAGCTTCTCATGAAATCATTTGCCGTTTGGAGGCCCATAGATCATAGACAGGGCATGGACCATATATCAGAAATGATGACCAATATTGGGCAGTGACTTAGATATGGTTTGCACTCAACATTTCCTTCTTGTTTTTTCAGGAGGTTGAGTATTCCACCCGGTCTTGTAATTACATCAACTACCATCAACACTTAGCCAAACGTGCTACCAATCGTATATCATCGTACAGATGAAAATAATCTTACAAGGAGCTGGAAGAATGCGTATTTCCTCGACTGAGTTCAGCATAAATGTATGCATATCAATTTCTGTACAATTTTTCACAAGTTCTTCAGCAGTGGCGTTAACTGGCATGGCCCCGCTTTTTTTATACGCACGTTGGGATAGCGCACTATTCATCAAGTGGCACGCATGAAACTCCGATGAAGCCGCCTCCCCGGAACTGCTTTCGCATTTCATCAGAGAGCGGCCGTGGCATACAGAATGCCTCACTGCATAACGCCATTTCCATATTCCCCAATCCACATTTATGATAAAGGATTCAGACTCTAAGAGCCAGCCTCCTTATTGCCATTGAAGTGCTCAGGAAGATGAAGGCTGAGGTTTGGTGCCAGATTGAAATGATCTCCACCGCTTACTCTATCTTTTATGCTGGAGCCATCGGTAAAACTTTTAAGCGAACTTTGATTCTGGTTCTTGGCAACAATGAATTCATTTCTCACTGGAATTCTTGCGAAAAATTTGCCATCAGAACGAAGAAAAAGAGTGGAATAATTTGAATTTTGCAGGCTTTCAGAAATAACGGCCAAAATATTAAATAATTTAAAAAATATAGATACGACAATAGGTGCCGGATACGATATTAAGGTGACTGCCTCATATCTAGTTCTTGCAAAAGCCGGGACACAAGTACAAAAAGTGTTCCACCGTCTCATACACTTCGTGGCAGGATGGGCAAATGGAGTTGTCATGTACGCCTATCACCGTCAGGTATTTGTGCAACTTGAAGTGACCAGTCAGCAATCCAAAAAATTTTCTGCGGTCCCGTCTGCTCAATGAGAGCAGAAACTAGATAGACTTCTGAAACTTCTTGATGCCTTCCAGTCAAGGCCGTATTTAGGGCGAGAATTTAGGTGTTCTGTTGAAATGTAGGATTTTAAAGCACTAAAAACTTGGAAAAAGGCAAAATGTGCTTTGAAAAAAGGCATATATTTTTAAATTTTGTTATGTACATACAATGTGCATGCCCAATTAAAGGTATTAAAAAATACATACAGTGATCAAGAAATTATAGCTGAACCACTTTTTGCCCAGTTTTAACGTATTATTTTCGTTGTTATTCAATTTTGGTTATTTTTTTTTATAAAAATATAGTTCAGTCTTAAAAAAAAACCGCGTGAATTCAAGTTTCCAAATTTGTGCAATATTAAAAAAAAATTCAACAAACTTTCGTACAAATTTCGAGCTTTTTCAAAAATTCTAAAAAATAAATCGTAGTTAAATATAGGTTTTTTTTATTTAAGTTAACTCAAAAAAAGATTGCTAAACGGTGAGCAGCATAACGCTAATACCTCCTCGTTAGCACATCTTTCAATTAGTCTTTCGAAAGACAGCAAAGAGCTTTGAAGATATGTAGTTGCCAGAATTTACATTTGTCTTACGAAAGACTTTTATCTTTCGAAAGACTCAACTCACTATGAAAAACAGTTGCCAGAATTGCCCTGTTAGCTTAGTAATTAGAAAAAGAACTGAAATATAAAATTTGCTCACCATCGTAAAAAGTTTTTTCACCATAGAACTGATTGCCGAAGGCCCTAAGAGTGAAAAAAATGTGAAGTCCTAAATTCTCCCAGAAGTATATAAGGGATTTGCATTTAGCAAAAGATTGCTGCTAAGATATTTATACCTACATATGTAAATCTAAAATATTTTAGTTTTCATGTGCTGTTAAGAAAATTTTCTTCTTACTTTTATAACGGAACACAAAAGACTTATTACTTAGTGCCATTCCGGTGCAAGCGGTGAGCGCTTCCGATTTATTTAAGCAAACAAACAAAACAAAAAAATGCTCGCACATATTTGGCACGTGAGTAAGTGTACTCAGGTAACTGGGAAGAATATATATGTATGTAAATATTACTTCATAACTATGCATACGAAGGATCGCAGAGTACTCAACAGTTGCCTAAATACGAGTAAATACATTTTCGAAATACATTTACGCGCGCTTCCCAAACTGCTGAAGTGTTGTGTGCTCTTTACTCAGAGGATGCTTGAAAGTTTTTAGCATGTTGCCCAACATTATGACTACATTACATATTGTTGAATATGGCCGTACAAATTTAGTGCAACTGCAGCCCAAAAGTATTATAAAATACAGTTAAGTATTTATATTTTTCATATCCTGCCACACAAACCACTCTTTTTTTAAGTACATAAAAAAGCACTCGTGCTGCGTAAGTTGTCCGAAGTCTTCATTAAGTTGCATTAGCGTGGCGGTTGTGGATTTTTTTTTTATATTTTCATACAAACATATATGAGTTTATACATATATACATACATATGTAAATATGCACATATATACAGACATATATTTTTGCTGTGAAGACCGACCTCTCCGCATATGCAGGAAAGCAATTGCATTTACTAAATAAACGCAATAATGGCTGCCCGGCGTCCGCTAATGGCTTGTGTGTATTTATGTACCCATTCTATTTGGCTTGAAGTGCAACAGCTTCAGGAAGGTTACATTTCCTTGATATGCGCTGCGTTGGTTTTTTGCTTTCTAGCATTTATTATTTAACAATTGCTGGTTTGATGCTTTCAGTCTTTGCTCACATCAACACAACACTCACTCGTTGGCTGGTATTCGCATCTACGTTTTACCGAATATGGACAGCCTGTCAATCTAAGTTCCTGCCGAATAAGCGAGCGCAATACCCTCATAACAGAATTTATTTTTTCTTGTTGGCCGATCTGCCTACTCGTGCGTGCTAAGCTGAAATGCACGTTCCTTCTAAAAACAATTGTTTTTATTCATTGTTGCATTGACAGAAAACACTTTTCACCAAGAAGATCTTAGTGCACGTCACATTGTTCTGACGTCCAGCTTTTAATGCCTAAAAGTTCAGTAGCAGTCTTACAGCGGCACGCGTCTTCACGCCACGACCGCACAGTGTGTTTATGTCATTAAAAATGTAGGTAAATATACACACAAATAGTGATGAGAGTAGTGGAGCAGCTACTAGAATTAGAGCTTATTCGTTTTGTGGGTTTCCAAGCAGCATGCCAAGTGGTGAACGGAGGCGATAATGTTGCTCAAGAGAACATGTAGTAAAACTTTTAATATGGCAAAGTTTACAAAGAATATGGGAAACTTGGAGGCATTCCGTCGTAGTTTCAATACATCCAGGAAATAGATAAGAAGGACTTAGAAGATATTATGATAAAAATTTTGTGAACACCTCAAATGTATCTTGGAAACCGCGAGTTCCAGAGTATGCCTCAGCTCATGGCTGCAGTTCAGTCGACAAAATCATCACCACCTGAGCTATCATATTCTTCTAACGCTATAATTTTCTAGGTTTGGTCGGAATAATACCAGCCAAGCTTCAAAGAATAATAAC